CCCCTGACGAGTACTGTGAGGATTACTGCTCTGAGACTTCCGGATGTGGACAGTCCTATTGCAAGGAGGATGGTCATTGCTCTGGACTATATCACAATGGTGACTCGAAGTGTTATCAGTCCGATGACGAGGAAAATACTTGCGACTCGTTCGAGCCCGTGAGATGCCTCGAATCCCCGCCATCGACCTGTGATGATGCTTGTTCCTCTGTTGATGGTTGTAGGACCTCTGAACTTGGAACCTACTGCAAGTTTTGGTTGGATGATCCAGTGTGTTATGGCATCCTCAAGAAGAATGACGGCAGTTTGTGCTTTGTGGCGACTGATGAGGCATGCGAGGGTAATCCTTACCCCTGCGGTTCTCAAACTGAGGCACCAATCGAGACCACTGAGACCTCGGTCGAGACCACCGAGGCTCCGGTTGAGACCACCGAGGCTCCGGTCGAGACCACCGAGGCACCGGTCGAGACCACCGAGGCACCGGTCGAGACCACCGAGGCTCCGGTCGAGACCACCGAGGCTCCGGTTGAGACCACCGAGGCTCCGGTCGAGACCACCGAGGCACCGGTCGAGACCACCGAGGCACCGGTCGAGACCACCGAGGCTCCCGTAGCAACCACTGAAGCTCCTGTAGCAACCACTAAAGCTCCTGTAGCAACCACTGAAGCTCCTGTAGCAACCATTGAAGCTCCTGTAGCAACCACTGATGCACCGGTCGAGACCACTGACGCACCGGTCGAGACCACTGACGCACCGGTCGAGATCACTGAGGCTCCGTTCGAGACCACTGAGGTTCCGGTCGAGACCACTGAAGCTCCTGTAGACACCACTGCCGCTCCGGTCGAGACCACTGCCGCTCCGGTCGAGACCACTGAGGCTCCGGTCGAGACCACTGCGGCTCCGGTCGAGACCACTGCGGCTCCGGTCGAGACCACTGAGGCTCCGGTCCAGACCACTGAGGCTCCGGTCGAGACCACTGAGGCTCCGGTCGAGACCACTGAGGTTCCGGTCCAGACCACTGAGGCTCTGGTCGAGACAACTGAAGCTCCGGCCGAG